CAACGATCGATAATTATTTCTGATCAGTTTTACTAATTATAGTTATTACTTCATGGAGTAACCCGGAGCAACCCGGAGCAACCCGCGGAGTACCAGTGATACATTTAACCTGGGTTGGGTTGAGTTGACCATTGCTCCGCTATAATATGAACCCAACCCAACCCATTATGTTCTATTAACAACCCTATCGTAGGGACACTTGTGAAGATGGAAATCGAGTTTCGTGAGTTTGCACGGATGTAGCAATAAGTTTTCAAGTTAATCTATATAGTCTTGAGGATAATAATAAATTTATATTATGCAGTTTTAATAATGACTTTAATTTATTTTTCATAAAAATAAGTGTGCTAATAAAAATAGATGTGAATACTAATACATTATTAAGATAGTGTAACCTTTGTAACCATGATAATCTGACAAACATTAAATTTTTTGACAAACGAATGTATGTTAAGAATTTTTTTTAACAAACAGTTTAAAAAAAACTATCATATATGAGGAACAAGAAGAACAAATTGAACAACAAGAATTAACTAAGTAAGAACAAATAGAACAAAATGAACAAACTGAGCAAGATGAACAAAGAAAAATAATTCAAACAAAATAAAGGAGGTAGACCAAAATCTATAGTATGGGGAATATATATTAAATAAGAAAAACAAATTTCAAAAGGACATTATAATGCTACTTGTAATTTCTGCAAAAAATATTGGGTCACCAGAAGAATGTGAAAATTATTTAACAAATTTATGTCCAAAAGTATTATCAGAAGTTCAAGATTTATTTTTAAAAAAGATAGTAGAAGATATATTGTTTTTAGACCGATTTAAAAATATTATTATTAAATCATCTAAAAAATAATACTTTTTAAATGAATTATTTATTAAATCATTTAAAAAAATAATATTTTTAAATGATTTAATAATAATGATATTTATCAAATCATCTAAAAATAATATTTTTTGAATAATTTAATAAATATTTCATTTAAAAATAATATTTCTAAAAATAATATTTTTAGACAATTATTAAATCACCTAAAAATATTGTTTTTTAGACTGATTAAATAAGTATTAAATTAAATTATCTAAAAAATATTATTTTTTGAATGATTTAATGAATATTTCATCTAAAATAATATTTTTAGATGATTTAATAATAATATTATTAAATTACCTAAAAGATAATAGATTTAATAAATGATTTACTAAAAATTAGATGTCTAGAAAAATATTATTAAATCATCTAGACTTGTGAGTTTAAAGGCTTATGGGAAGATTTAACTATGTTACTTGTAATAATTTTAAATAAATTTTAGAAGTAACAAAAAGAGTAAAAATTTCCTTCTATATCATTTAAATATATAAAAGGCAATTTTTACCTTTTTCGGAAAAGAGCAACATCTAAATCTAAAAAAGGGCAAAATTTCTTTCTATATCATTTAAATATAAAGGAAATTTTTACCTTTTCCAGAGAAGAGCGACAATTCAAATCCGAAAAAGGTAAAAATTGACTTTTATAGATTCGAATGATATAGAAGGAAATATTGTCCTTTTTCGGACAAGAGCAGCACCTGGAAATCTTGCCCCGAAAAGGCAAAAATTTCTTTTTTTCCCTAAAAGGAAAAGAAAAACAATGAAATAAATTATTATTTATATTAATTAATAAAAAAAATCAGATATAATAGTAAAATTGGGGGGAAAATCAAATCAACCAAAAATAAAAAGAAAGTGCCTATTCATATATTTGTTTCTATTATTTACCTTTATCGTTTTATTGACATTTAACAATAAATTATAGTTAATTATAGATATAATTTAGATGATTCATTGATGATTCATTGAGAATACAAATTAATATAAGAATATCATGTTTATTGTTTTAAATTAATGCAGTAATGTAAAAAACAAAGAAACAAAAAAAAAATATATATTTTTCATAATCTATAATGATTATAAAAGTATTCAATCATTCATTCAATCATTGAATTAAAAAAAAACAAAACTTTATTTTATTTATATTATGTTTTTAATTATTTTACTATAAATATTTATCCGATTTTCACATGTTTTGATAAAAACTTTAAAAAAAGCAAAGTTGTCGGGATAAGCCTGGATTAAAAGTTATTAAATATTTATTAATTGCATTAATTGTATTGAGTAACGGATTCTAAAAAATAAAAATAAAAGAAATGGAATATAGAATGTAGTGCAATATAGTAATACCATTTAAAATAATTTCAACTCTCGATATAATGTTATAATTAGTAGTATATTTTTATATCGATACGTAGTATATTTTGACAGTAGAATATATGTAATTTGACAATATATTATTTCGCTGGGTTATTTAATAAAGTCAAACAATGTTTAGAATACTAAATCCTAATACCTATAATAATATTACATTTATTTATTTTTTTATTTGATTTTTGACAAATAAATTCTTTATTGTAATAAGGTACCTGCCTAATTTAATACAATATCAATGCTTGTTAACATGATTGAAATTTAATTATTATTACTGAGGAGCTTTAAACACTTGAGTAAAAAGAAGTTACAACCTAATCTAATAAGAATATTGAATATTAGTTTAATATCAATATTAATAAATGAAATACGTTAGAATAGGAATTAATGTATTTAAGGAAAATTTTTTATTCAGACGGCTAATTCGTTACGTCTAGTTTAAAAGCATATATGCAAATATTTGTATTCTTTTGCTTCTTTCTTTGATTTCTTTCTTTAATGAAATTTCTTTGATATACAATTTTTTCAATCGCATTGGAAGTCGATAGTAACTTCTACACGACCTTCTCCCAATTTTGCGATTTTCTTGAATGCAGCCTATTATTATTATTATTATTTATTAAATAGAAATAAAGGGTTGAAAAATTAAAAAAATTAAATATATAAAAGAAAAACAAGGAAATAAAAAAAAAAAAAAAATACATACGGGACTCAAATCGATATCACCATATTTACAACCTACACAACGATCAACACAAGTAACTTTAACTTTCTTTGTGACTCTACCAACTTTACGAGAAACGATAGCTGTTCTGCCACAATTAGGGTTTAGATTTGGATTTCCGTTGGGTGATGGATCGAACATACTAGCTGGCAGAGCAAATACTAATTCATCATTAGTATGAGTTTCACCGCAAGCACCAGTACCAACATCGTAGAAGGTAGCTTGGCCTTTGACTCCTTTGAATTGACCTTTGACTTGACCTTTGACTTGACCCTTCCTTATTCCATGTACCCAATTAGAATGCGCATTTAGACTTCTTCCATTTCCTTTGTCTCTTTTAGAAATCGCACGATAGACGACGTTATTTGCAGATATAGGTGTCAACAAAAGGATGACTATTAAAGCCAATTCAAAGAAAAGAACAACAGATCTCTGGAATGAAGTCATTTATTTTTATGATGATATTAGATGGTTTGGAAGAGAGAATTAACTTTTCTTATCTTAAAGTGGTAAAGAAATAATATGTTCAACGAATAAGAATTTTTATTAATTACAGTAGGGAAGTGTAAGAAGAGAATACACAATTAAGAATGAGAGTAAGTGAAAGTAAATGGTGTCAAACCAAATAGAATTGCCGTGAATAAAAATTTTTTTGATGACAATGAAGGAAAAGAGAAGAGAAAGGAAAAAACTTCTTTTATAAGAAAACGAATTTCATTGTTGAAGTCGTACAATTTATTAGATTATTTATGATATTATTTTTAATTATTTGTTACATCAATTAATATTTGTTTGTTTTTTTTTTCATTTCGTTGTTCTATTTTACTAAGAAAAGATTCAAGTTTCTTTGATGCATTAATAAGTTTTTTTAGATTTAGATTTAATTACTTTATTTAAATTCATACAACGCTAATCCTTACTAGTTGTATACATTTATTTTATTTTTACCCAAATCTTAATCCTATTTAAAACTTACTCTAGTTTATGTAATTATTATGATTTAAAGGAGAGAGACCAGTTGATCCTTTTCCAGATTGCCAATGAATTAGTTTGACAAACAATAAGATATATCTATTCCTGGAGAATGTCGCACATCAGAGTGTCACGCGCAAAATTCACACAAATTCCCCCATTGACACACAGAGGTCGGTCTCTCAATGGCAAGAGGTCGTAAGAAGTGGGAATAGGACATCGGAGAGAATGGAATAGCAGATGTTACACCACAAACTGTAAGTTAAATATAATCGTCGTAGAGAATTTTCCGATGATCATCTGTGGACATAAACGATTTCTTATATTTTCTTCTTTACTAAATTTTTATTTTTAATGTACTTTGTTTCTTAAATTAAAGAAAAACAAAAAGATATTTTTGAGAAGTTATATTAAGCATAATTTAATTTTAATTTTTTGGGGGAAAGGATTTTATAAATAAATATATATATATATATTGGAAGTTAGTTATTTTATAACTATTTTTATTGCTTTTGAACACGTGCTCCTTTCCTCAATTATTATTTAGAATGTCGCTCCTTAATATCATTATTAAAATTTATTTATTTAAATTCGAAAATAACAATAACAATTATAATAATAATAATAATAATAGCAAGAATGTCGAAAAAATATAAAAAAAAGATATTATAGCCAAGTTGTACAATGACAATAATAATAATAATAATGCAATATTATTCATTAATTTCATTAATTTTAACTTTTTCGAATCTTGCTAATCTTTTTGCTCTCAAATCATCCAAATCTTCAGGTGACAATTCTTTTGCTAAAATTTCTTTATTATTACTATTACTGCTACTACTATTACTATTATTATTATTATTATTATTATTATTATTATTATCTTTATTATTACTTTTATTTTCGTTATTAATTACTTTATTTTCGTTATTATTCTCATTACTTTGTAAACTAGCTTCAATAGCAGCTTGTAAATCATCTTCATATGATGAATTAACATTAAAACTTTGAAGTTGTTGTATGGAAGGATCTGGTAGTGTCACAGCAACTTCATCAGCTTTATTCGCGGGAAACGTTCCTTTTACTATGAATATACTGTAACCTAAATTACATATAATTATAATGTATATAATTTTAATGTTATGAAAAAATTAAATAAAATAAAATAAAATAAAATGAAATAAAATAAATAACCTTCATTCTCTAATTGATTAAGTAACATTCCTAAATAAGTTGGACTAATCCGTTCCGGTCCACCTAATAAAGAGTCTAAATTGTACCAACGTGATGTTAGACCACCGAACCTTCGAAGTGTAAACCTTAATAAATAATCAATAAATAATAAAGAATTTATAAATAATCAATAATAAATGAAGAATTTATAAATAATCAATAAATAACTAATAAATAACTAATAAATAACTAATAAATTATTAATAAATAATTAATAAATAACTAATAAATACCAATGCTCAGCCAGATTACATATATATGCAGTTTCTTCCCTATTAGATTTATTATAATAATATAAATAATATATAAGTATATAATGTAATAAATTTATATAATGTATATCTGTTATATAATAGAATAATTTATTACTCTGGACACTTTCTTGATTCTCGACCTTCTTCAGAACCAATTGGCACTAATTCTATTGTATTCATTATTATATACATATATAAATATTAGAAATTATTGATTTTTTTAATTTATCAACAGTAAAAAAAGAAAAAAAAAATTACCGAGATTCCACACTTTCAATGCACGATTTAATACCTAAAAAATATATATATATATATATAATTTAAATTTAAATATAAAGTTTTGAAAGATAATATTAATAATTATAAAATTTCACTTACTTGTAATGAAAAAAATCCTTTTTTTTTTTTAAAAAAAAAAAAAAAAAAAAAAAAAAAAAAAGGAAAATTTAATTAGATCAACAAGTTAATTTATAAAATAAAATAATTTCAAGAATTTCAAGAATTTACCTGAATCATCCATATTTTGACTTTTCGGTTCATCTTCTCTACTATTATTATTATTATTATTATTATTATTATTATTGTTACTATTATTATCATCATCATCATTCTCATTATCATCATTATTATTATCATAATCATTATTATTATCTCGATCCATATCAATTACGCCTTCTCGTAATGCATCTTGTTCTGCTTTATCTAAATTACTAGCGATTTCACCCAAATCTACTGCCGTAAAATATTCTCCTTTTTTAAAAAAATGAAAAATAATATAATAATATAATAATGATGATCAATAATTATAATTATAAAAATCATATGTTAAAATATTTATTTCTATATTTTTTAAAATCACTAAGTCAAAAAAAAAATACCTTGAAGAAGAGAATTTATACAGTGCTGTGCACATAAATAACCTTCTTGCTGTTTTTTTTTTTTTTAATATAAAATTGAAAACTTTAGTAATTATTTTTAAAATAATTTTAAGAATTAATAAATATAAATTTTTTTACCTTTTCCCAAATTATACAAGAAACAAGATCTGCCATGGTGAGTGAAGAAGTTATGTAGTATGTAAAATGATATTTATCTGACAATTACGTTTATAAATTTATGAATTACGTAAGATATCAATATTGATGCACGTGCGTCATATCATTACGTAAATATTTCGGGAATTTATAGATTAAACGCATTCATAATGTCTTTAGAAGATCACGAAACCAAAGAACTATTTACAAATGAAAAAGTTATAATTAAGAATAAGAAAAAGATAGGAACCGGTGACTGGTTAGAAATAGAAGAAATAGAATATATTGAACCTATAACTAAAACCATAAGAACCTGGGAAGTTTGCAAAAGGAAAACTAACTTCGTAAAACAAGAAGTTGATGGTATTAAATACATAGAACAAATTATCAATATCCATTATTTATGAATAATAATAGTGAATAATGAATAATAATAATTAATAATAATGAAATAATAGCGGTAGATATACATGGAATTATACATAGTCCAAATTTACCACCACAAATAATTTTGGTTATTCAATACCGACCTCCTATTGAAAGATATTGCATAGAATTTCCATCTGGTAAAAATATTTATTATTATTAAATATAAAAAATATGATATAATATTAAATAAAAAATTATTAAAATATTAAATAAAATTATTATTTAAAATATTAAATAAAATTATTAAAGGATTAATTGATCAAGGAGAAACAGTAGGAGAAGCAGCATTACGTGAACTTCAAGAAGAAACAGGTTATATTGGTAAAATTAAAAATATATCAGATCCTATTTGTTATGAACCTGGATTAACTGATTCCATGACTAGAATTGTTGATATTGAGGTGATTAATTATTATTGATTTGTAATTAATATTTAATTAATATTTAATTAATATTTATATAATATTGAGTAATATATTTTTATATACATTTTTATAGATTGATTTATCATTAAAAGATAATATTTCACCTTTACAATCATTAGATGTTGATGAATGGAGTTTAAAAGTAATAAAACTTCCTTTATACAATTTATATGACGAATTAAAAGGTACGAATTTATTATAATTTACTATTATTTACATTACTATTATTTACATTACTATTATTTACATTACTATTATTTAACTATTTTATAATAATAGGTTTACAACGGAAATATAATGAAAGCTTATGGATTGACAGTAGATTATATTCGTATGCTTATGGATTAAATATTGCAAAATCAATTAAATTTAATTAAATTCAATTCATTTAAATTTAAATTAAATCAAATTAAATTAAATTTAATTAAATTCAAAATTAGAGTCAATGTAATATATATATATATATATAGTATAATTATAATTAAATATAAATATAATGAATATAAATTATTATATCATAAATTTACATATTGGTAAACGATATAAATTTAAATTCCAATAACGTCTTTTAACACCTTCCCATATTCTTTCACATTCTTTCTCATCATTAAATATTTCATCAAGTGGAATTTCAATAAAATTAATTTCTAATCCTAATTCGGCTAAATGCATTTCAACTATTTTACAATAAACATCATGAAAAAATGAATTCGTGGCTCCTAATCCATTAAAGAATGAATAAATTCCATTGGGTTTAAGATAATTAATCACAACTTCTTCATTAAATTCTTTTAAATCTTTATAATATTCTCCAAATGTATCAAAAAATATTCCATCATAAAGAACTTGTTCTTCACCTTCTTCTTCCAATAATTGATTATTATTATTAATTAAAACTTCTTGCCATTTACCAAATATTATTTTCACTCCAGGTTTCTTATCCCAACCTTGTTCTATCATAAATTTATATACATCAGGATGTGCTTCAATTATTGTATGTAATGTTGGTTTATATTTTTGTATGGCTGAATCAATTAATCCTAATCCAAATCCTATATTTAAAATGTTGAGTTCGATGACATTTTCATTAATTTCGTTAATTTCATTAATTTGGTTAATTTCATTGGTTTCATTTGTTTCGTCAATTTCATTATTTTCAATAAGATTTTCTCGTAAACAAAGAATTTCTGCATGTTTTTCCATTAATAATTGTTCCCATCCCATCATTACTCCATTATTTTCAGAATCTAATAATTTTTTACCATCTTCGGAATATTTTAATGGTCGACTTAAAAAATCATCAAATTCATCACCACCACCATCATCATCATCATTATTATTTTTTCCTTCGAGCAACCCTATAAAAAATAAAAATTCAATAAATTAAATATAAAAAATTCATAATATACAATATAATGATGATAATAATTATTAATAATAATTAATAATAATTAATATAATAATTACCAAATATCAATTCAGCTCTACAACCTTCTTCAAGTAAATAATCATAAACCTCTTCATGATTATTACGTTTAGCATATTCTCCTGCTGTTACTTCATTCAAATCAATTACATTCCAAGCCAGTCCATTCTTTAATAATAATTTAACTATATCCAAATTTCCTATTTCACTTGATATATGTAATAAACTTATTCCCTGTAAAAATATTTAAAATGTTTATAATAATAATGATAATAATAATAATATATCTATATATATTTATTTATTTATTTGTGAATGTTTAATTCTACCTGATCATCTCTATACCAAATATCTGCTCCTTCTTGTATAAGTTGATTTACTAATATTATATCCGCATTTTTTATTGCCTGTAAAAGTTTTAAATTTAATTCTTCTTGTTTTTTCTTTTCTTCATCTGTATTTTCTATATCCTCCGCATCCATCGTCTATTTTCCATAAAATTGCATTTAACAAATCTGATTATATTATCAATTATAATTCGATTATCGACGAATGATTTTTTTATATTTTTTTTTACATCAACCAATAAAAAAATGTCAAATAAAAAAAAAATTGTACAAATAAAAATTCGAAAAAATTGGTTTAATCAACTTCTTTTTAAAAAAGTGATCTCGATATTTTGACGATGGTGAGATATTCGGTTAAACCTGCTAATTCTGCAAAGTGTGAGTTTATCATTATTATTTTTATTCCGATCGTATTTTTTAAGAAAATTTTTTAATGGACGAAAAATTATCTCTAATATTAAGAATGGATAATAATAATTATTAAATAATATATTTTCATATAATGTGTATATATATATATATATATATATAATGAATAAAAAAAATTATAGCCGCTAAAACTCGGGGTTCATATTTACGTGTTCACTTTAAGAACACTCGAGAAGCTGCCAAATCAATTTCGGGTTTAAAATTATCAAAAGCCATTAAATATTTGGAAGATGTAAAGAGTCATAAGCAAGCTGTACCTTTTAGAAGATTTAATGGGGGTGTGGGTCGATGTGCTCAAGTTAAAGCTTTTGGGGCTACTCAAGGTTCGTAATTAAAAAAAAAAAAAAGAATGTATAAAAATATATATTATATATATATATATATATTATTATTCATTTATTTATTTATTTAATAATTAAGGGGGGAAGGTTCGTTAGGAATATATATTATTAAATATTATTAGATGTTCTTAAATATTTATTTGTTAATTTTATTTTTATTTTATTTTATTTTATTTATGCAGGACGTTGGCCAGAGAAAAGTGCGGAGTTTTTATTGGGTCTTTTGAAAAATGCTCAAAGCAATGCTGAAGTAAATTTTTTCATTTTTTTTACTATTATTATTCTATTCTTTATAACAATTCATATAATATTATCATATTTATACCATATAATTCATATATACCTTATATTTTATATTATATTTTATTATATAATTTCAGCTTAAACATTTGGATATAGACAATTTGGTTGTTTCTCATGTTCAAGTCAATCGAGCTCCAAAACAAAGAAGAAGAACGTATCGAGCTCATGGGGTTTGTATTTTATTTTATTTTATATTTTTGTTACTTCGATTATTCGTATTTCATTCAACTTCCCATTTACTCCATTTATTCACATTCATCCACTCCTTTACTCCACATTTCAATTAATAGCGTATCAATCCATACATGAGTAGTCCTTGTCACATTGAAATTATTGTTTCAGAAGAAGGTTCTCAAGTAAAACGTGAAAGTGATGATACTAAAAAAGTTGCTCGACTTAATGTTAGGCAACTTGCTAGAAGAAGATTGATTGAACCTCAACAACATCAAGAACAACAACAACAGCAATAATAATAAACAATAAGTAATGATGAATAATAATAATAATAATGATATGCTAACAACTATAACAAAAAAAAACAAAAATACATTTAAATAAAGTATCCATTTATTTATATATTTATATATGCAGTTATACGCGTTAAGTATAGTATATGTATGTGTATGTGTGCAGTACGCAGTATATTTTGTGTACGCCCTTATGAAAGAAATTCAATGTTTTTGTTTTTTTTTTAATTGTTTATTTATGAAATAATATAACGTTAAAAACATCCATTGAATAATGAAATTGTCATCATCATTTATTGTTATCGTAATATTGGATCAATCAATCAAAGATATCGAAACAATAATAATTAATGTAGAATAATATTATCCGATGGATTGTCGATTTTCACATGCTACTATATTTTAGCGGTCAAATTTTGCCTACCCGATAATCCATCGGATAATTTTCTCCGACATCAAAAACGTCAAACAGTGAATGGTTTGATCATATCATCTCCTTGGCTAGATAGTACTTCAATATCTATAATGATTTAAATATGCAAAGATAGAGAACAAGCCTTTTATTTTTTAGCTTTACATATCGTATCTTATTATCTACCACACCAGCATTGAATTTCTAACTACACATCAGTCAAACATTCGTCTACCGCTATAGTCTATTAAACGACGATCGTTGCCACTCATCACTCATTTGACTGTCTTAATTCGCAGTTGCTGGATGTTCGGATTCGGAGACTTGGAGGATCATTTAAGATTTTCAAAACAACTTCTTGGTAACTTACTTATACCAATGTTAATTTCCAAGTTACTTTAAAAAGTTTGACTGAAACCGCCGCCTTGTCAATTTTCTTGATATTTGTAAGAATTTTTTTCGTTTTGATCCATATTTATTTTTTCAAGGTAGGTAGTTTTTAACTTTACAAATTTATATTTTTTTTTAAAAAAAAAAACGATATTTCTATTCTATACCGAATTTTTCATAAAGAAAATTGGTGTGAGAAACAAATTAAAATAATAAACATTAACTGTTAATATTTAATTTTTTTTTTTTTTAAAAAAAAATTATATTGATAATTGATAATATAACTAGAGAATATATAACGCATCTACTGTTTAAAAGTTTTGGATTTATTAAACGTTGAATTGAGAGAGTGTGTAATGAAGTTTTAATTAAAAACGTTCCGTTTACTATTAAAATGAGTATTATACGGTCTGTGGTGGCGGAGGACCGAATGGCGAATTCACGTATTCTATCTCAGCCTTTAAGGTCAATACAGTGGCGGTCAAAAGTATTGCATACATGACTTTTGCCTTTAAAAAATTCTGTCTCCTGAACGATTGATATTAAAACAATAGTTACTATACTCGTTTTAATCTTTAAGTTTTGGAGAATTTTTTAAATTTTTTCTGTGCCAAATTAATAATGCTGATTTTCGCAAACGGGTGATCGACATCAACAACTGGCACTTAGTAAAATTTCGATCATTGAACAAATTTTATATGGCACAGCTACAGTGACGATCATCATAGGGTTGATCATCCCTTATTGATATAGTGCAGAACGATAGGAAAAGTTACGTCAAATTTATTACACAACGAAATATGGACAGAAAAATCTTGGTCGTTGTTATTGCGATGGGATTGGAATCATCAAAGATGAAGAGAAAGCATTTCAATTGTTCATGAAATCAGCGGAAAGCGGAAATAAATTTGGTCAGTTTTCACTTGAATATTCATATCGAAATGAAATTATAACCTCAAAAATTAAAAAAAAAAAAGGAAAATAAATTAATGCAAGATGCTAAAAATAATGATGATGAAGTAGCTGTTAAGTATTTTAATGATTATCATTTTTGCTGCATTTGTTGGAAAGAAAATGATTGCAATGAAATCTGCATTAAGTTTTATCGAAATTTTGGTATATGTCATGGTTGTGGAAATTTGAATATATACAAAAATATATGTTCAAATTGTAAACTTATAGAAATAAGTTACTTGTCAAAATGGACCAGTGGTAATCATGAAGTTGACAGGATTATTCACATGTCTCAATTAGATGAAAATGCAAAGGGATGGAAAATTTGGAGATGGATAGATTATAGTAAATTTAAAGATATAGAATACTTAGCTGAAGGAGGATCAAATCAAGTTGCTTTGAAGAAACTTAAGAATTCACAACAAATTAGTTCTGAATTTTTAGATGAGGTAAATATATT